TCCCCTCCTTTCCCAGAACTTGACTCCTCTGTCTAATCCGAACCTTGACCTCTGATGCAGTCTCACCAGCGGAGTCCACCATGTTCTGCAAGGCAATGGATAGTTTGGAGTCAATGGACTGGAAGCAGAACTCCCCTGAATCAGCGAGTTCGGCATAGTCAGGACTGGGCAATAGAGCAGGAGATAACCATCTTCTCCATGCGGCCGTGTCAGGATCACCTGATGCAACACATACAGCTTGCACGACATTGGAACGCCATACATCAAGATCTTGGCATTTAGGCCATGGTTTAACGGTGACCTTTTCATGTTCCTTTCTGGATATTCTAGTTACCCAATCTTTGCCATCTTGACCAGCATCACTGTTTGCAGCACTAGCATCTTTGCCATCTTTCCGCTCCCAAAGTCCAGGGGGATTGTCAGGAACGGGATCGTACTCAGGGGTCTTGCTGTCTTTCAAGGACTCTTGCCCTTCTTCAGCTTGTTCCAGCCAACTTTGATATTCCTTCATCTCGTCATAGTTCTGTTGAGCTTGTTCCTCAGCCCGACGAAGTTTCTCACGAAGATCATCGATCTCATTGTTGGCCTGGTTGTTGATAGCATTGTTCATGCTAGGCGATGGTGATGGTGGTAGAGCAGGACCATAATTCTTTGTAGTAGAGGATGCCTTAGGCGTACCCATAGGTGTTGAAATCGATACTGCAAATGATGGAGTCATGCTAGTGGTAGCCGTCGCTCTCGGAGCAGGGTTCATTGAAGGCATTGAGGATGATGAAGCTGGTTTCGCACCCCTGGCCGCTACTCTGCTCCTCACTGTGCTCCACGACGCTGGCACCGAACCCATCGTCAGCTTTGCATCATGGAGTGATTGTTTCAGCGAGTCATTCTTCCTGATCACATGGTCACGTTCAGAGCATGCTGATTGATATAGCTTCTTGTACCTATCTGCCTCCGCCTCTTCAGCATCGACGAGTGCCTCAGTGAGTTTCGGATTGCTCTCAATAGCTTCTTGAAGTCGTTGGATCTCCATGTTGGCCTTGTGAAGCTCCTCGCATAGTTCTTCGTTCACCTTGTCATTGGCTTCACTGCCACCAACATGAAATTGAGCACCAAGAAGTTCAGCAACCCGTGTTCTCAACTGGTTGTTGGACTCAATCAAAGCCATGTTCTCATCCATGAGCTCATCTTTGATACGCTCGATGGTGACTTCCCTGTCCTTGAACGCACTTGGCGAAACTCATTCTTCTCATCAGTGAATCGATCTGTATACCACTCTCTAGTAGCACTCTCGTTCTCGTTCATTCTCATGAGGCTTCTGATCTCCACCTCGAGCTCGTTGTGCTTCCGGTTATACTCTTCCTCTCTTTCCTGAATCATGTTCTTCATGTCACGAACCTTCACGATGTGATTGCGATTCGCGTCATCCCTGATAGAGATGAGGTTGTCCTTGTGCGATAAACTAGTAGTCAGTTCATCGATAGTCGATTGCATCTCTACCAATTGTTCATCACGTAGTGCAACAGCTTGTTGGCCAAATTCCATGATCATCTCATTGCTGTCAGCCATCATCTGTGACTTCTCTGATAGTTTCAGTTTCAATTGCTCCATTTCTTCTTTGCTCGCATTCTCCCTGTCTTGTACATATTGTGCACATGCTTCACGCAGTTATAGCCCATCTTGACGAAAATGAACTGTCATAGCTTCAGATGTATCATGTTGTTGACGGATGAGTTGTGATGCGTTCTCTAGCTCAGTGAGATATTTTCCCCTCATCTCCATACTCTCCCGAACAATGTATGCCGCACCTGCTTCAGCGAGTTGACCACGTTTCTCCAGTTCGATGATTCTCATAGTCGAACCTTCGTCCAGGAGGTGTGCCTCAGCCAGTGCGAGTGTTTGTTCTTCGAGTATGTTGTGTGCATCGATAAGGGAAACTCTCATGAATTCCATTTCAGAATTGACATGTTCCTAATACTCTTCATGATGTTGATGTGAATAGATCTCCATGTTGTTCATCATCTGATCACGGTGTACAAGGACATCTTAATAAAGCTTCAATCTATCTTCTAGAAGTTTCAGTTTGCCCTCTAGGTCAGTCCTTGCCCGTTCACTCCTCTCCAGCTTCTCGGTATTGTGTTGTAGTTGACGTCGAAGACGTGCCTCGCTCTCATTCCTCGTAGCGCTGGTCGATGGCTTGCGTTTGGATGAGGTGGCAGCCTTGCCTACCTCATCCTCCCGCGTGGCCGCGCCCGACGGGCTTCGGCCACCGTTTCCACCTTCAGTGATACGAGACCTTGTAGCGCGAGGGGATCTTGCCGATGTCGATCTTCTGGCACTTCCTCCTCGAACCGCATCAGCTTGGTTGACCACTGTGAAGCTGCTAGTTGACGCTATACTTCCAGCTGCACGATACGAGACCGTGCCACCGCCACCGCTCTCTTGGGATCCAGGCGTGTCATTGATTGCCTGGGCCGGAGCAGCGTTCACTCCGAAGGAAAAGCTTGTGTCATTGCTGCTTGACTGGTTCTTCTGCGACATCTTCTTGTTGTCAGTCCACCTCCGTTTACTCCAGGACCAATGTCTTGTAGTAGGTCAGGAAGACCGGGATGCCGTAGGGGTTGAGAATACAATTGTGGGACCACCGTGCGCCCAGAGTGAGCGTACGGCTAATAACCTGTGAATCAGCTCTACGTTCTTTGTGATCGTGTAATGCTGAATGTCAATAATAATCTTGCCTACGGTCTTGATCCCGACGCCCTCCAGCAGCAGCAGCGCGTTATTTTCCAGCGGGTCGGCGGATGTTTATGTTGAGTCGATATGGCCCTTGAGCCAGAATGGCGGAGCGATTGAATTGTTGAACCTGCGCACATTGGTTCATGCTCTGGCCTATACATGAATCACACATATTATATAATAAATTATATATTTGCATTTATATATATTATCGTATATTAATGATATTAAATATTATATTATATTATACTATATTATATTATATTATATTATATATATGTTATTATAAAATATTATTTAATTTATAATATAATAAACAATTATATAATTTTATATCATTATTAAATTAAATTATATATAAAATTTTGTGTACCGACAATATCATAAATAAGAATTAATAATTTTTTATAATATGTTTGAGAGGGGGAACACGAAAGGTAGGTCAATAAGAAAGGATTCGAAGAAAAAATGAAGGGGAGAGGGCAAGGGGAAAAAAATACGACGTGGAGGCAGGTGAAAGCGACGCGGCCATGACCGTCAGAGCCCATGGCCGGACGGAAAGGCTGTGGTGGTGTGGTTGGGCTTGGTGGTGGTATTGGTCGTGTTGGTAGTGTTGGTGGTACAGGTGGAGTTTGTGTCGTTGTCATTGTTGTCGTTGGTATTGATGTTGTTGTTGTTGTTGTAGTAGTTCTTGTTGCTGTTGTTGCTGTTGTGGTTGTTGTTGTTGTTGCTGTTGTTGTGGTTGTTGTTGTTGTAGTTGTTTGTTCTGGTTCTGGTTGTGGTTGTGGTTGTGATTGTTGGCGTTGGTGTTGTGCTTGCCCTTGTGATTGTGATTGTGGTTGTGGTTATAGTGGAGGTGGTTCTTGTTCGTGTTCTTGTTCTTCTTGTTGACGGGCCGGCTGGCTCGACAATGTGCGCGAAAATTTCGATCCCGAGGCTGCGCGCAGTACGCGCTGGCACACACACACACACCAGTTGCTCATGAGCCATTAGCGAAGAAAAGAGCTGGTCCTTCGCACCCGCAGTTGTTCTTGTTCGTGTTCTTGTTGTTGTCGTTCTGGTCGTTGTCGTTGTCCTTGTCGTCGTTGTCGTTGTCGTTGTGGTTGTTGTTGTTGTTGTTGTTCTTGTTCTTGTTCTTGTTGTTGTGGTTGTGGTTGTGGTTGTGGTTGTCGTTGTTGTAGTTGTTGTTGTAGTTGTTGTTGTTGTTGCTGTTGCTGCTGCTCTTGTTGTTGTTGTTGCTGTTGTTGTTGCTGTTGCTGTTGCTGTTGTTGTTGTTGTTGTTGTTGGTTGTTGGTTGTTGGTTGTGGTTGTGGTTGTGGTTGTGGTTGTTGTTGTTGTTGTTGGTGTTGGTGTTGGTGTTGTTCTTGTTCTTGTTGTTCTTCTTGTTCTTGTTGTTCTTGTTGTTGTTGTTGTTGCTGCTGTTGTTGTTGTTGTTGGTGGTGGTGGTGGTGTTGGTGTTGTTCTTGTTGTTCTTGCTGTTCTTGCTGTTCTTGCTGTTGCTGTTGCTGTTGCTCTTGTTGTTGTTGTTGTTGCTGCTGTTGTTGTTGTTGTTCTTGTTGTTGTTCTTGTTCTTGTTCTTGTTCTTCTTCTTCTTCTTCTTCTTGTTGTTGTTCATGGTGGTGGTAGAGTAGAGGTGGTGGTGCTGCTGGGGTTGGTGTTGGTGTTACCCCTGCAGCTTTTTGTCTCGGTTCCGTAGTGGCCGAAAATCGTCACATAGGTAGTGTTTTCGCGCGGTTTTGGAACTCTCGGAGCAAAAAACACCGTAAATACGAATGTGTTGGGTGGATCGGAAGCCCAAAACCACGGTATTTACGATGTTTTTTGCAGCAAAAAGCACGGTATTTACAGTGGTTTTTGGCCAGCACGTAGCAAAAACACTGGTATTTACGGATGTTCCACCATATAACAAAATGTGGTTTCTTGATCCGAAAAGAACAAACATACTGTAAATTACAATGTTTTGAGTCTGCTCTTAGGGTGCGTGGGAGGCGTGGAGGGGGCGGGGGGTGGGCGGGGGGAATACTAGAATGACTAGCAATCTCCTGAATAATCAGGTAACGGGGCTGGCCGCCCTCCCCTTTACTTCGTAAAGTAAAACTCAAGGTAGCCCCTCTGGAGCTACCTTTCGTGATATATATATATATATACGATAATATTCAAAAAACATCAAAACCATATATATGTCGAAAATGTATTATATTTCCAGAAAATATCAATGTTAATTTTATTGCCAGGTTTTACTGCACTGTTCCATTGCTGGCCCATCATCAGCAAAGTACCTGCTCCCCCAGTTCAGAATCTTAGGGCAAGAGCGTAATAATCCAAAAAAAAACCGCTGGTCATCTAACCTAGCAATGGGTAAATTATCTGTTTATGAGTTTTATAATCCAAACTGACCCAGCCCTGCGCAGCACTTTGGCCTCTCCATCAAATGGAGTGAACTCTGGATCCTCGGCGCTTAGCTAGTATACACATATTAAATGCATAATTATATGTACCAGTAGTACCCGCACGAGGCGGGGCGGAAGTTGCCTTAAGGATATACTATAATACCTTTCTCATCTATAGAACTTGCATGCGCTGTGCGCTAGCCAGGCCCGTGCGGGCGTGTTTTGTGCGAAGCTGTTGCAATGTTGTTGTTCAAGAACATGACGTGCGCGCGACCCCGGTGCAATGCAACACCAAGGGAAGACTTTCTTCACGCTTCAGACTGTACTCTTCGCACCCCGCGCTTCACACTTCACACTTGCACTTCGCACTCCACACTTCATCTAATCTCAAATCATGTGAACTCTTCTCACCTCATCTCAGCTCTTCTCATCTCATCCCATCTCTTCTCGCATGTCATCTAAGTAAGTTCTTATAATCTGTTTTCATCTCATCCGAGCACTGATCAACCTTTCTCATCTCCTCAAAGTTCGGCTCACTCATCTCAGTGCTGTCAGCTGTTCTGCACGCCAGAAATCTCTTACTGTCAGAGACAAGTCTCTTGCACCAAAAAACAATTGGGCGCAGAAACTTTTGCAAACAGAAACTTGAGACACAGATGCATTTACACAGAAAAGCCATTACAAAATACTTTGTACTACAAAGCTTGCAGAAAGCACTTCCTGGTACTACTTTGTACTACAAAGCTTGCGCAAAGCACTTCCCAGTACTACTTTGTACTGCAGAGCTTGCACAGAGCACTTCCTGGTACTACTTTGTACTACAAAGCTCGCACAAAGCAATTCCCGGTACTACTTTGTACTAAAAAGCTTGCACAAAGCACTTCCCAGTACTACTGTAATGTGTAGTCCAGAGCTTGCACAAAGCACTTCCCCGTACTATTTTGTACTACAAAGCTTGCACAAAGCACTTCCTGGTACTACTTTGTACTACAAAGCTTGCACAAAGCACTTCCCAGTACAACTTTGTACTACAAAGCTTGTAGAAACTACTTCCCAGTACTACTGTGTACTACAAAGCTTGCAATAAGTACTTCCCAGTACTGCTTTGCACTACAAAGCTTGCACAAAGCACTTCCCAGTACTACTTTGTACTGCAAGACTGCACACAGCTCTTCCCAGTCCTAGTTTGTACTACAAAGCTTGCACAGAGCGCTTCCCAGTACTACTTTGTACTACAAACCTTGCACAAAGCACTTCCCCGTACTATTTTGTACTACAAAGCTTGCACAAAGCACTTCCTGGTACTACTTTGTACTACAAAGCTTGCACAAAGCACTTCCCAGTACAACTTTGTACTACAAAGCTTGCAGAAACTACTTCCCAGTACTACTGTGTACTACAAAGCTTGCAATAAGTACTTCCCAGTACTGCTTTGCACTACAAAGCTTGCACAAAGCACTTCCCAGTACTACTTTGTACTGCAAGACTGCACACAGCTCTTCCCAGTCCTAGTTTGTACTACAAAGCTTGCACAGAGCGCTTCCCAGTACTACTTTGTACTACACAAACCTTGCACAAAGCACTTCCCAGTACTACAAAGCTTGCAAAAATTACTTCCTGGTACTACTTTGTACTACAAAGCTTGCACAAAGCACTTCCCAGTACTACTTTGTACTAAAAAGCTTGCACAAAGTACGTCCCAGTACTACTTTGTGATACAAAGCTTGCACAAAGAAAGCTTTTACACACAGCAAGCTTTTTAAACAGAGAAGCTTTTGCACACACAGAGAAGCTTTTACACACAGCAAGCTACACACAAAATATTTTACACACAGCAAACTTTCACACAGAGCAAGCGTTTACACACAGAACACTTACACGCAGTGCTTTTACACATGGCAAGCGCTTACACACACACACAGCAAGCTTTTTAAACAGAGAAGCTTTTACACACAGAGAAGCTTCTACACACAACACTCTTACACAGAGAAGCTTTTACACACAGCAAGCTTCCACACACAGCAAGCGTTTTCACACAGAACACTTACACACAGTGCTTTTACACATGGCAAGCGCTTACACACACACACACGTACAGCAAACTTTTTAAACAGAGAAGCTTTTACACACAGAGAAGCTTCTACACACAACAAGCTTTTACACAGAGAAACTTTTGCACACAGCAAGCTTTCACACACAGCAAGCGTTTACACACAGAACACTTACACACACACAGTGCTTTTACACATGGCAAGCGTTTACACACAGAGAAGCTTTTACACACAACAGGCTTTTACGCAGAGAAGCTTTTACACACATCAAGCTTTTACAGAAAAAATGCACAGAGAAGCTTTCTTGTGCATAATCACAACATTAATTGCAGCTCCAAAACCAAGTCTCGATACCAAAGCGAAAAAAAAAGATTTTGAACCACTTTTTAAAAGGACTTTTAAAAGGAAACGTGCTAGCGCAAAAATTGAGAAAACCTGCTGACAAACCACTGTCGCAGCCTTCATACAGCCACTCCAATACTATTGACGAGATCCAGCCGCAAAAGACGGTAGTATTACGCATGCAGCCGCGGCACCAAGCAACCTTGACGCAGCCATTACAATGCGATCTCCAGATACTGAATTGCAAAACACAAAAGAACTACGCGCAACAGTGTCGGAAATTGCAGCTCCAAAACCGGATCGATGCCATAGCAGAAAAAAGACGATTTTGAAATTACGAGCGCCAAAATTGCGATTTTTCTGCTGACAAATCATTATCGCAGCCTGGATGCAGCCACTCTCCAATACGATATAATACGATTTACGATCTTCAGCTGCAAAAGACGATAGTATTACGCATGCAGCCGCGGCGACGCAGCCATTACAATGCGTTTCGCAGCATCACGTCGCAAACCTGCACGTATATATGCACATGGCAACACCAGATGACAACAATCATGCAGCCATTCCAATGCGATCTGCAACCACAGATTCCAAAACACCCTACAACTACGCACACACACACACACAAGCACACCCAAAGCAGCTTGAAGCCACCGTTACAATGCGGCCAAAAGAAAAAGGCAAACCGACCGCAGCCGCACCCGCCGCACAGACGAGGTACCTTTCATCGCCGCCTGCAGCCACTTTACACAGAAAAACCACAAGGTTTCGTGCTCTGGCTTCGTCCCCAAAACAAAGCCCATGCAACACTCATGCAGCCATTACAATGCGTTTCGCAGCATCACGTCGCAAACCTGCACGTATATACGCACATGGCAACACCAGATGACAACAATCATGTAGCCAGTCCAATGCGATCTGCAACCACAGATTCCAAAACACCCTACAACTACGCACACACACGCAAGCACACCCATACAATGCGGCCAAAAAAAAAGGCAAACCGACCGCAGCCGCATCCGCCGCACAGACGAGGTACCTTTCATCGTCGGCTGCGGCCACTTTACACGGAAAAACACAAGGTTTCGTGCTCCGGCTTCCTCCCCAACACAAAACCCATGCAACACTCAGGCAGCCATTACAATGCGTTTCGCAGCATCACGTCGCAAACCTGCACGTCTATACGCACATGGCAACACCAGATGACAGCAATCATGCAGCCATTCCACTGCGATCTGCAGCCACAGATTCCAAAACACCCTACAACTACGCACACACACACACAAGCACACCCAAAGCAGCTTGAAGCCACCGTTACAATGGGGCCAAAAAAATCCGCCATAGCAGAAAAAAGACGATTTTGAAATTACGAGCGCCAAAATTGCGATTTTTCTGCTGACAAATCATTATCGCAGCCTGGATGCAGCCACTCTCCAATACGATATAATACGATTTACGATCTTCAGCTGCAAAAGACGATAGTATTACGCATGCAGCCGCGGCACCAAGCAACTTTGACGCAGCCATTACAATGCGTTTCGCAGCATCACGTCGCAAACCTGCACGTATATACGCACATGGCAACACCAGATGACAGCAATCATGCAGCCATTCCACTGCGATCTGCAGCCACAGATTCCAAAACACCCTACAACTACGCATACACACACACAAGCACACCCAAAGCAGCTTCAAGCTACCATTACAATGCGGCCAAAAAAAGGCAAACCGACCGCAGCCGCATCCGCCGCACAGACGAGGTACCTTTCATCGTCGGCTGCAGCCACTTTACACGGAAAAACACAAGGTTTCGTCCTCCGGCTTCCTCCCCAACACAAAACCCATGCAACACTCATGCAGCCATTACAATGCGTTTCGCAGCATCACGTCGCAAACCTGCACGTATATACGCACATGGCAACACCAGATGACAACAATCATGTAGCCAGTCCAATGCGATCTGCAACCACAGATTCCAAAACACCCTACAACTACGCACACACACACACAAGCACACCCATACAATGCGGCCAAAAAAAAGGCAAACCGACTGCAGCCGCATCCGCTGCACAGACGAGGTACCTTTCATCGCTGCCTGCAGCCACTTTACACGGAAAAACGCAAGGTTTCGTGCTCCGGCTTCCTCCCCAACACAAAACCCATGCAACACTCAGGCAGCCATTACAATGCGTTTCGCAGCATCAGGTCGCAAACCTGCACGTCTATACGCACATGGCAACACCAGATGACAGCAATCATGCAGCCATTCCACTGCGATCTGCAGCCACAGATTCCAAAACACCCTACAACTACGCACACACACACACAAGCACACCCAAAGCAGCTTGAAGCCACCGTTACAATGGGGCCAAAAAAAAGGCAAACCGACAGCAGCCCCACCCGCCTTTCATCGCTGGCTGCAGCCACTTCACACAGAAAAACACAAGGTTTCGTTCTCCGGCTTCCTCCCCAACACAAAACCCATGCAACACTCATGCAGCCATTACATTGCGTTTTGCAGCATCACGTCGCAAACCTGCACGTCTATACGCACATGGCAATGCCAGATGACAGCAATCATGCAGCCATTCCACTGCGATCTGCAACCACAGATTCCAAAACACCCTACAACTACGCACTCACACACAAGCACACCCAAAGCAGCTTGAAGCCACCGTTACAATGGGGCCAAAAAAAAAGGCAAACCGACCGCAGCCGCACCCGCCGCACAGACGAGGTACCTGTCATCGACAGCTGCAGCCACTTCACACGGAAAAACACAAGGTTTCGTTCTCCGGCTTCCTCCCCAAAACAAAGCCCACACAACACTCATGCAGCCATTACAATGCATTTTGCAGCATTCCCTTCATCACCAGTTCCCTTCCTCACCACTTCCCATCGTCACCACTTGCCTTCATCACCACGTCCCATCGTCACCACGTCCCATCGTCACCACATCCCATCGTCACCACTTCCCTTCGTCACCACTTCCTGCCCTTTGTCACCACCCTGTGTCATAGCTTCTTATTCTTTTGTTATGTATTGTTAGATGATGTACCACCCGGCATCATTTCAAGTCTCAGAATTTTATTTGCCCGTAACACGGAAGTGTTGCTTCCCAACTTCCTTTGATGATATGACATCTATGATATTATAAAAGAATATAAGTATAAAAGGGGACCCCATCTTTCTTCCAGTTTTCGTCATCATTGAATCCATGACAACTCGGTGGCTTCCCCCTGCTTTCGCCTGAGGCTGGTGCGCATGCGCGGAGCTCGCTCACCGGAGGCTCCTTACCAGCGGAGCTGGTCCACGAGGGGCTTCTTGACTAGCAGCAAGCACAGATAAGTGCTAAACATCGACTATTGGCGGCAACTTTGGGGGTTTGGCTGAAAAGTTTTAGGATGCTCTCCAATCTCCAGTAAGATGGTTGGTATTTAGGTCACTATCGAGGGCCTATACAAGAACTTAAAGATTTGGCAAAGCTTGTGCCAGTCATGTTACCTTCAATGGATAGAACACACTTGAACAATGGTCAACTCCAAGTGTGTCCTTTTGGTGCAAGTGTATGCGAACCAACCTCTGCAAGCATTCCATCATAATGGGTTTCTGCAAAAAAGGAAGCCTTGAGGCCTTGAGGTCTCGAAATTCAAACTGTCATAAAAACATTCTGGTTTGGATATAGATGTTCCTTTGGGTTTGTTATATTCCCCTTATATTTCATTCAGTTTGTGTATTTGTGATGGCGTTCCAATTGGGTTTCATATGTTTGGGGTGGGTTGAAATCACCAAAATATTATGGACGATTGTTGTAGGTCAATTTTTGCAACTTTGCCGGAGACATCCTGACATATCTTGACCATACCACCGGGATACCCTTATTTTTCTCATTGCTCTCATTTATTGATGGTTTTTCCATCCATACTATGTGGTGATCATCCCAGTTGACTATCATTTTTTGCACAGTTACCCTCTAGTCATCAAATATATTTTCTGGAAATGAGCAATTTAGTTGGCTGGTTTACCCGTTAATAAAAGCCCGATAAAATAAACGATAGGGCCATAATGCATGTATATACGATATATATATATATGTATATGTGTAAATATACACATATATATACATATGTATATTCATACATGTATAAATGATATAAACATAAATGAACATATGTGTATGTATATATATATTTACAAAAAAAATATGGATGCATATGTAAATACGTAAATAAATAAAATATATATGTAATTATGTAAATGTATGTAAATGCATGTAAATGTAAATATATGTGTGTGTAAATAAAAGTCTATAATGTAAACAAAAATAGATAAACATATATGCGTATATATGTACATGAATATGTATACATATATATGTATATAAAATAACTATAAATGTATACATATGTGTATATATATACTAATGTAAGTATAAAAATGTATATATATATTTATGTATGTATCTGTAAATGTATGAGTTTAAAAATCTAGATATATGTATATATGTCTGTATATATATATATATATATACATATCTGTTAATATATGTATATACATGTATACACGTACCAATATATATGTATAAAAATGTGAAAATATAGATAAGAATATACATGTATGTATGTGAAAATAAATAAATATATATATATATATGTATATACAAGTATGCAAATACATACATGTAAACATAAACATATGTGTGTAGGTAAATGTATTAATATACATGTGTGTAAACATATGTAAATTACATATTGTATGTGTATATATGTATAAACATGTATATATGTAAATATATATATATATGTAGGTATGTATATATATATACATGTATACATGTATACATGTATACATGTATATATGTATATATGTATATATGTATATATATGTCGAGAAAGAAATACACATGAATATATATATATATATGTATATATGAATATAGATGTATATAAAAATGTGTGTGTGTATATAAATGTAAATATATGTACAAATTAATGTTTATATCAGAATTTATTTGTATGTAAAAAATGCAAAGATATGTACTTATTTGCATGTATATTTAAATACATGTATATAATTGTGAAAAATATGTAAATACAAACATGTAAAAAAATATATGTATGCTTTTATATATGTATATATTTACATATGTGTATATATATATCCGTATATCAATATGTATATATATATATATATGTATTTATATATGTATTTATATATGTATATATATACAGAATGAGATTGACCCAAAATTTCCGACCCCCAGATTTATGCCCTTGAATATCCATTAAATTCCATCCAGAATGTATCGGATACCCACTGAAAATCTAGTGAACCCCATTGAAACCACGGTTTGTGTGCCCAAAATCAGGGTTGCTCCCAGCACCCCCTAAAAAAATGTCAAATAATAGCAAAAATATCTCCGCTTCACTCCGCTTGTGGCGATCATCTGCCTGGACTTGGGGGTGTCCAGTTGTAAGCCAACAGCGGTATCCCAACTTAATCCAACTTGTGGGGTTTAGAATCCGATCGTTGTATTATACCCTATAGAATTTCCTTGAGCTGCACCTCCAAATAGGACAAGGGGTGTGGGGTGAGGTTGGGGTGGGGTGGGCCAATAATGGTCACTTGAAGTTGCACACACAGATACTACGCGATGGGACTGTTCAGCTACCATTGCAAGTGTACCAGGTGGGAAAATGTATGCTTGATTACTCTATGATATCTATGTATGTGTTTGTCTGTTTTTTGGGGCGGTTGAAAACAGTTCTATTTGTGTGTGTGTTGTGGTTCGTGCATTAAATTGCCTGTGATAGAATTGAAATTTATGATCGAGACGTGCGTTCAAGATGGAGGGTGCTTTGGAGTTTTTGACTTGCATTATCTGAAAATTGATGAGGAATCTCAACAAGAAGCATGCTGCTTTTTTTCGTGTAGCTGGTGGAAAAAGATGACCAGGATGCTCTGTGGCCGAGACCAATGTCCCTGAAAATCCAAGAATGGATGGAATGGGACAAAAAATGGGAAGACAAAGTTCAACAAAAACAGCAGTTTCACCAAGGTCCAAGGTCGAATGGACCTTTGCTAAATTTTGAGGCACGTCTCCAAGGTTTGTTACAAAAAGAATCGTGTTGGAAGCAACCACTGAGTTTGACGCTTTCCCCCAGGTGCTCTTGGTCACCGCAAACGCGGTGCCCAAGAGCATTGGCTGAGCATCCGGCCGGGGCAATGGGCCCGCCTGCGGGGCAAGGCACGTACATCACATAGCAAGATGTAGCACGTTTTGGAGCAAGCAAAGCACTCATGGTGTAACATGCACCCGCCGCGCCAATCATCGCTGGCGTCCCATACCGTCGCGCTGTGCGTTTGCTTTTTCGCTCTTGACAAAATCTCTTCCGCTTCTGAGCCTTAGTCTTCGAAGGCGGCAGCTCAAGCGGCTGCCCGTTTGGGGAAAAGAAAGTGCAGAGGAGAAATTGGCAGCACCAAAATGGAAGCAGAGCTACCAGCAGCGTGCACTTGGGGATGATCCTGATCTGATTCAGATTTATTCCCTTGAATATCGATTAAATTCATCAAGAATGTATCGGATATCCTTTGAAAGCCTAGTCAACTCCATTGAAACCACAATTTGTGTGCCCAAAATCAGGGTTGCTCCCGACACGCCAAATACGAAAGCGTAAAAAAATGTCAAATAATGGCAAAAATATCTCCACTTCACTCCGCTTGTGGCGATCATCTGCCTGGACTTGGGGGTGCAGTTCCAGTTGTAAGCCGACAGATTCCGCCATAGCCGTGGTATCCCAACATAATCCAACTTGTGGGGTTTAGAATCTGATCGTTATATTATAGGATTTCCAAATAGGACAAATAGGACAAGGGGCGTGGGGTGGGCCAATAGCGGTCACCTGAAGTTGCACACGCAGAAACTGCGCAATGGGACTGTTCAACTACCGTTGCACGTGTACCAGGTGCTATGCTAGACATGCCGTGGGAAATGTATGTTTGATTGATCTATGATCGAAGGAGGTTTAGAAGTCAAACTTCCGACAATATGGAGAGATGAAAAAGCAGTCAGCAGGGAGAAGAGTCAGAAGAGAAAAGATCAGAAGAAAGAAGATGCAGGAGCGCGAAAAGGTAGGAAAGTCGCGAAACACTGTGTTTTTTCGTGGTTTTGTGGCTCCGGAGGGTTGAAAAGTAGGCTCGCTAAAGCGGCGGGTGCGGAGACATCTGCGGAGATGAGAGATGAAAAGTTGCACGCCGTT